AATAGCTTGAATGCAAAGTTTGTTGAAATTACCTGTAAGAACTACCATTCAACTACCACCAATTGCAACCACATCTTTCATCAATTAGATCAACCTTGAACTTTTGTGAGAGATATGAAACCTTATATCAATTATTTGCTACATATCTAACCATCCACTTCCTTAATTCTTGCACTTCCTTATGAGGTCTTGGACACACAGTGTGTAATATTTCAATTTAAATTTTAGAGTTAATTAGAGTTGATAGAAATAAGGAAGGATGTTTGAAGGTAAATAAATAAATTAAAAGATTTTTAGTTTAACTTATGATATAATTTTTTATTAAGATTTGTTTTTAGAAATTGAAAATAATAATAATAATAATAAGAAAAAATATACATACATACATACATATATATATATATATATATATATAAAAGAGAAAAGGCGATGGAGTATTGAAAACCAAAAAAAATAATCATAAGAAGAGGCGGTGGAGAGGGAGTATATTAAACATTGATTTTACTTTTCCTATTCATTCTTCCACGCACACAAGAGATAGAGAGAAAGGGAAGGAGAGGATAAAGAATTTGAAAAAATTTTAAAATAAGATTTTATATTCAAACTATTTATATTCTCAATACTTCTTTAATAAATATTTTCTTACTCATCCATAGTTTTTTAATGATAGTAATATTTTAATGAGTAAAATAAATTTTAAAGTTAGGGTTTAGAGAAAGTATTAATTTTTAATAACAGAAACTATAAAATAGTATAGGTAAATTAATACTTAAATTTTATTGATTTAAATTTATTTTATTAACTAATTTGAGAATTTAAAATCAAGGTCTTAGCTATAAAATTTATAATGTCTGATGTATAGGATATTTATATTGATTAAATTATGTTTTAAGATTTAGATAAGTTAATCTAACTTAGTTTTGGATTTTTATGGGATGGATTTAGATTGAAAGGATATGGTTGTAAATTTAAAAATTTTAAAGGTTAATTTTTGAGGTATTGAATGATTATGGGACTGAAATGATTATTTTTAAGGTTTAGAAAGGGTGAATAAATGTTAAAATTTTCATGAAATATTTACATTATTAAAAGAGGTTAAAAATTTGAATTTGGGAGAGTTTAAGATTTGGATTATGGATGTTGGAGTTAGAAGTGTGGTTTATAAATTTAAATGGATTGATTAGATGTAAGTGAGATAAAACTAAGTTGAAAAAGAAGGAGTTAAATTTGAAAAATTGAGAAGTTTAATTGAATTTTATATTGAATGGATAAATTACAATATATATATATATATATATATATCTCTAATGGTATTTATATCATTTAATGTTATAGATTAATTTGTTATTGTGGCTAAGAAGTTTCTTGTACATTTGAGTTAATTAGTGTGTGTGTGTGAAATGTAACATTTGCTTTATATGATGTAAAAGAGATAATAAGGATGGGTAGCAATATAATTATTGTTTGAGACTGAAGATTGAATATTTATGCCATGTAGTTTGTCTCGACTATACGCGTAGTGGTTGGCCTTTTTTCTTGTAATTTCCAATGTCCTTAATTTCTTGGGGTGATGGGCATCTCTTTTTAAGAAAGGGAGTCCTATTCTGAAGGCAATATATCTTTAGCCAGATATAACATCAGTTTAAGCTCTAGCTAGTAGTAATAAGAGAGTTAGGAGTTATAAGGGTGATGTTAGAAAATGTATCACAATTGTTTTAATTGATATTGATTTAGAAATTTTTATATAATTGTGAAATACATATGTATATTTATAGATATGTTCGCAAACTAGTTTCAAAAGTATGTTGGTATACGTTAAAATATCCAACTGTTATTAAAATTTTAATCTCACATGTTAACTCTTACCAATTTTCAAGTGAGCAGCTAGGTAAAGCTACAGGGAAGGCATCGAAGAAGTGAGCTTGGGCTCCCTTCTCTCGGCTTGGCACATGATTTTTTATTTATTTTATAATTATCGCTGCCATGACCTAGGAATTCCATAAAATTTTATTTTGGATAATTTTTATAGCTTATTTGACTAAACTACTCAATCTTTTTATTTGAACTGGATGGCTTTTGAGTATGTTGATATTAATTGTGGTTTTCTTTTGGGCCAAGCCCATTTATTTTAGATTGTACATATTAATGGTAAAAAAATGTGTTTGGTAGGATTGATGATATCCATAAATTATTATTGAACCTTGGACTTGTTGTAAATTGTTTATTAGGCTTCATTTGTCCTGAGCCCAGTGGTAGTATTTTTTTCATTTATGAAAGTTTGTGATGAAAATTAAATTCATTAATAGTGCACTTGTCTCAATACTTCTTAACCTTTACACAATTTTCAGTGAATCATGTCATGAGGTATGTTCGGATCTAGTCAAGTGTACTTACAATTAGAAGTTCTCTTGCCTCCAACAATTTTCCATTGGATGACTCTGAAATATTATTGGTGATTGTATCACATTTGCAATATTCTCCAAAATGAGACTTGGTCCAACAAGTAGGAGGAAATCCCATTAAATGATCATGGGTTTCCTTCGAAACTAATCTCAATTCATCCATACGTTGTTTCCATTCCATCTCATATATGGCTTTTGCAGCATAAAGGATTAAGGCCCGAGCTATGGGGCCTCCTCCATATTTTGCCTTAATATTTGCATATAAATGTTATACACAAAAGCAATACTCAGCACCTTCAAGTAGCTCATCAAAAGTAAAAACTAAGCCTGACACACAATTGATCAATTAGTAGTGACAAGATAGAATTAAAAAACCAAACAAAGGAATAAAACAAATAAATAAATACATGCAGAATAAAATACCTTCTATTGGTCAGATATAAACACCCATCTTTTTTTTTTTTGAATACTTCCCATGTTATCAAAGAGATTTTTCAAAAACTAAGTCTAGGAGTCTCTATTCTCTGCCTCAACCACTGCTTAAGTTAAGGGGAAGTACTGGTCATTAGGATTATGTGCAACTGTCATAAGTAAAATTCCTCCATATAAACCCTTTAAAAAATAGCCATCCAATCTAATAATAGGTCTGTAACTAGCCATGAAACCACACTTCACAACACCTATGCACTCATATATTCTCTAAAACATAGGCGACTTATCTATGTGTGGTCTTTCAATCACTAGACAAAAAGTTGCTCTAAGTTGCACTTTTTAACTTCATTATAGTAATCTCTTAGCTTGTGATATTGCTCCTTGTAATCACCATCAATTATTGATTTTGCCCTTTTCCTTGCCTTGAATGCCTTCCACACAAACACATCAACCATATAATAGTCCCTTATTACAGCAATGATGTCAAACGGTTTAATATTTTTGTTTGTCCTTATCATGCCAACTATTTTTTCTGAAATTCACTCATAATAAGCCATATTTCCACCAATGGACAGCCTATATGTGTGTTTAGACTGAAATGTCTTTACACAATGTGTCAATACACCACTAACTTTACTCACAAAAATTAACCATTTGCATTCTTCTTGTACACACTAAACTCGACACCTTGCACTGTCATTCTTCATAAATTCTAGCTCATATTTATTAAGTAAAGCATATTCTCTTAGTGCTTCCTTAAATTGAGTAAGTGAAGTGAATTTCGTGCCAATTTGAATTGAAACTCTTTGCACATCTCTAAAAGATTGCATTTTTCATTCTTAGAGGTAACTTTAGGCATACTCTCATCTTCATCATCACTAGATAGTTGCTCTTCATGAAGTTCATCAAATCCATAATCAAACAACAACCTCAATGTTTCCTTATCTGTAACCTCTACGTTCCTATCCTCAATTGATTGAGCTGGTGGGTCTCTCATTAATTATGAGCTACCTATAACTTCATCTAATATATCTCCAATACCAACATATTGATTAAAGAAATCATCATCAATGTTTTCGAAATCACTTATACCTATATTAGATAAATTTACATCTTCACTACCTTCCCTTTCGCTACTGTTGCTATAATCAATCTGTAAGTCTATATTATACCTTGCAGCAAATTATAAAACTTCAATAATCATTCTAAATAGAAAAATTTGTTTAAGCACAAAACAAGCTAAAAATTAGAAGAAAAGACATGTAAAAATCATAGACAATAGACAACATTAATGAAACATTAAGGATGATTTTCATAAGGATATTAGAAATAGTAATAGGGTCAAGTAAATGAGAGGACCTGATCAAGAAATAAAACTCTCAAAATGCAGAGACCTTAAAATATAGGGATGGTGATGAGTAAATGAATGAGGGTCAAATGAGTAAACAAGTGAATGAAAGACATACTGTCAATTGAGTAAACAAGTAGGACTTATCCATGTTGACTATCCCAGCACCAATGATTAACCTTTTGTGACGTCCTCCAAACACTCTTTTCTAGCGTCCTTGTCAGTCTTGGACTCTTAGTTCCTTAATTCTTCTCCGTGCCTTAGAAATAAGGGCTATGGTCCTCTAACACACTTGGCCCTACTTGTTGCTTGTTTTTGTCCGCAAAATACATAGGTGGATGGAGTCTGATTATTGAACAAATAGACATTAGCTTTTTCCTTTTTTCCCCCATAAAAAAATACGCATCAACATAATTAACGCGGTTAGTGTCATGTCAACACCCATAAAAAGTGTAAGGACCTAAAATGTAGATAGAGCAAATTATAAGGACTTATACTAATGAAAATAAAATGTAGGGACTAATAATAAAATTTGGGTAAAATGTAGAGATTGAAAGTTATAGTTTTCCAATATATAATGTTAGATAACTAAGTCTTGCCCTTTAAAATAAATGCTATCATCCAGATAAATACTACCACCAATAAAAGTTTGGTCTAATGAGAGGCTAATTTTTTAAAATGTGATAAATTAAAATTTAAATTATCTTAAAAAAAATTTTAAATTATCTCTGAATTGATTGCTTCCTAGATTTTTTTTAAAAAAAACATTATAATTTTTTATTGTCATCCTCATTGAACGCGCGTGGACGTCACATGCCAATGCTCAAAATCTTTCGTCACATTCATTGTACGGCGCCCACCACAGCAGCTGGAAGAGTTTGGGGCTCCGCCGCCGGAGTTCGAGCAGCTTCAGAGTTCAAGTATCGTCTTCTTGCTTCTCTCTTCTGCGAATCAGGTACCTAGCTAGTTCTTATTTCTCTATTCTACACTATAGATCATCCTTGTTGTGCCTGTTCTTTGCCCGATGAAATTTGGGGCCGCCCCAACCCCGACCCAGACCCAGCAGTGATCCTCTCCTGATTCCAATACTCAAATTTATCAATTTTTTTTCTTTTCTTTTTCGAAACCGATTCATTTGTTTTCGGTTTGGTTGCTGAGTTTTTCTTTCATTGTTCAACCGTCATGGTCTGCTGAATCTTATTTCCTGTGTTTTGAATTTTTTATGTAAACTAAATATAATTTGTTTAATGCTAGGGCTTTATCTTTCTTCAACGAGAAAATCAGTATCCATGAACGTGTATGCTATGCCTCCATTTGCCACAGCACCGAAAATTGATTCCAGATTGAGTTAGCTTCTTCACACAACCTGCAGGGGACTTCATTTATAAGAAGTTTTGTTTCAGAAGACAGCACGTTGGGAACCATTCTTTGGCAATTGATCAAGCCATCAAGGTTCAATGTGCACTATGCATGTCACTTTTCTCTTGGAGAATGCTTGAGTACATCAATTAATCCAAACTTATTTTCCCTTCCCCTACTTGCTACGTTGGGGGAAAATTTTCCTAAGCAACGTTGATTTTTGTTAGAAAAGATCTCATCCATTGTCCTTTGGTGAAATAGATCTACTGCTTATACAATCTAGGAAGCAATGAAAAAGATCTCATTTCGTCAATTTTCAGCCTTAATTGATCCATTAGTTGGAAATCACATTTCTGTCGAATCCTCAATTCCTCAGAAACTGCGTATGAGAGTTTCAAGCCCATTCCCTATCCCTCATCGAACAATTCCTGAACCCAAAGGACAGGATCTTGATTTTGTAAATGTAGCTCACAGCCATCTAATTCACTCAGACTGGGCCAAACTTGACTTATTATCATCTGGTCTAACAGGTTTCAGGGTTAAACATATTCTGCTAAAAATTCAAAAGGACCATGTACTTTCCCTGGAGTTTTTCAATTGGGTTAAAAGTAAAAAATCCGATTCGCTTACCCTTGAAACCTATTCTATACTTATCCATATTCTCACCAAAAATCACAAATTTAAATTTGCTGAATCACTTTTGCGCAATATTCTTGCTTCAGACGCCATAGATTTGCCTTCAAGACTATTTGAAGCATTACTCTATTCCTACCGTATATGCGATTCTTCACCTAGGGCTTTTGACTCTCTTTTCAAGACTTTTGCTCATATGAAGAAGTGCAGAAATGCAACTGACACTTTTTGCTGGATGAAGGAATATGGGTTTTTCCCTACTGTTGAGTCATGCAATGCATATTTAAGCTCTTTGCTTGAATTGCATAGAGCAGATATAGTTTTGTCCTTCTACAATGCAATGCTTTGTAACCGCATTTCACCAAATGTTTATACAGTCAATATGGTCATGTGTGCTTATTGTAAATCGGGAAAGCTACGGGAGGCTGTTGAAATGTTAGAGACAATGAAGAGCAGGGGTTTAAGTCCAAATATTGTTTCATATAATGTACTGATTTCAGGATACTGTAACAAGGGTCTTCTAGTTTTGGCCATGAAGATTAAATCCTTGATGGAGAAGAATGGGGTCCAGCCTGGAGCGATCACATTTAACACACTTATTAATGGATTTTGCAAGGAGGGTAAACGACATGAAGCAAATAAGATTTTCACTGAGATGAAGGCCAATAATGTATCTCCCACTATTGTAACCTATAATACTTTGATGAAGGGATATAGTCAAGTTGGTGACATTGAGATGAGCAGTCGACTTTATGAGGAAATGTCAAGAAATCAGGTTAAACCTGATATTTTGACTTATAATTCTTTGATTTTGGGATTATGCAAGGAAGGCAAAACAAAGAAAGCTGCATATCTAGTTAAGGACCTCGAGAAGGAGAAGTTGGTCCCAAATGCTTCTACCTTTTCTGCTCTTATTACTGGGCAGTGTATGAAAAAGAACTCAGAGCGTGCCTTTCAACTCTATAAAAGCATGATAAGGAGTAATTGCCATCCAAATGAGCACACTTTCCAAATGTTGATATCTACCTTCTGCAAAAATGAAGATTTTGATGGAGCCATCCAAGTCATGAGAGACATGATGGGGAGATGTATGATTCCTGATTCTACTATTTTGTCTGAGGTCTGTAGTGGACTCTACAAGCGTGGAAAAAGTAGATTTGCATCAAAATTATGTGATGACTTGGAAGCCAAGCATCTATTGCCCAGAGGGTTTGACAAAGTGAAAATTATGAACACCCCTGTAGAGAATGATTGAGATTGTGAGTTTATATGCTATAAGCCTGTATGTTTTATGACTCTTGAAGCTGCCCATTACATGGATATCTGAGGGGTCAACATCTCTTACAGTGCATGCTTCAATGTCAGAAATGTTCGTTGAGTCATATACAATCTTATTCTGGTAAAGAATAATTCCCATATTATTCTTTAGCTGATATTTTTTTCTTACGATGAATGGGGAGGCATGTATTGTGACATATGGAAATTATCATGCCTTTTCCTTCATCAGTTCGTCCTCCATTTTTCTTCGAGTAGAGGAGTCAATGGACCAAAAGATCAGTGGTGAGTATGATTGCATTGAACTGATTATGTTCCCTGATGTCCATTGATATAACCAAGAAAGTGCCTTGAAAACACAGTTTGTGGAAATTGATTGGATTGCCTAATAAGAATACTCCCTTGCTTAGGACTAAATACATGCTGATCCCATAAGGTTGAGTTCAGAAATTTTGCATGCGCAGTAATACAGTATGTTGATATTTAGGGTTTTGGTTTCTGATCTTAGCATTGAGTAGATTTGTATTTGCAGAATAACATATCTGTTTGAAGTTATCGCATGCAGATTTTGACCAAAATGAAACCTCACATGTAATTTTGACATCATTGTAGATGGTTTAGGTGAATGCACTAGTTAGACTTACTCAAGTTATGCTGTGTAGTAGTTTTTGAAATCATGGGATTAGTTTAGTAATTTACCTTAGGACAAAATTATGTGAACTTTATGCTTCTGCTGTCAAATTATCAAAAATAATGTGCAGAGAAATGTTTTTAATTCATTTAACCAGGTGACATTGAATTCTAAAATGGAAATATTCAGATGTCATATTTTTATGGAAAGAAATTAGCAAACATATCACAGAGTGTTGAAGTTTTGTCTTTTATCTTACTATCGGTGAAATCCTTACTTTGTCGACCATGTTGAAGGCTTGAGCATTCGCTAGCCCTTTCATTTTCCATTTCTCATAAACTAGAATGACAATGACATTTCAGTTTCCATTTGAATTTTGATGCCATCACAGGTTTTGCTCGAGGTGAATTCTAGTACAGTTGAAAGTGATTCCCTTTCGGGCCTTGCCAATTGGCGACAACGCTTGAACTAGTTTAGTAGCAAACTCAGACCCTCTCAGCAGTCACAAATTGATTCATATAAAATACAATTAAAGAGATGGGTGGGGAAAAGTGTAAAGAGAAGCAACTTTCACAAACGGTCCTGCTATCTTGAGTCCCCCCTTCTTGAATGTATAACGTACATCTACAGTGAATCTAATATGACTTATCAGCCCTGCGGCCTCCCCAGCTGCCGTAAACTGGAGGTTGCTGATAAAGTTGCTAATGGGTGCAGGCGTCTTTATACGATCCTTTATTGTTTGTAGGCGTCCCTTTGTTTTTTGGTGCATATGGAAGGCGTCTTTTAGCCTTTTTATGATGTAGCATTGTTATATTATTTACAGATAGCTTCACTTTCAACACGCAGTTCTTGGAAGTTAACTGTTCATTGTCTGTAAATAAACAGAGGATAGGAACTTGTTCAAATAATAAATTAATTTGTAAAATTCCTTCCTGTCATGTAAGAGAGGCTGGCTTGCTTCTTCGTAATGTCTCTATTTAATAGCGTGGTTTTGTTTTTTTGTTTTTTTTGTTTTTGCCTGAGTTCGCGACGTCTTTGTAAGTCGCGATATTTAGGTTTCTTGAATAGCATGGCTTCTATGTAGATGCATTTGCACGCGCATTAACCATTCGTTATTTTTTTGTCACTCCTTCCCCACTATCACTTCCATCCATTACGTTAGTTTTGGAACAATGATGGATTAGAAGTTGCTCAATCCACCATGTGAAAGTTCTTGCCTACCAAATATAATTAACCCAAAAAAATAGTGTAAACAAAAATTAATATTTGTATTGTTCTCTATATTAGATATGTTAACTGCTGGGTGCCAGAGTTGAAACTATTGTAACTCATTAGATTTCAGCAGCCATTACAGTTGATTGGTTATGAGTAGTAATGTTTAACAAGCTCTCATATTCATGCATCAACTAGCTGCGGCTAATTGAAAAGGAGTTGGTGCACTGCAAAAAAAGGGAAAATTACTAATAAGTACCTCACTGGAGTCAAAATTGTATTGAAGAACCAGAAGAGCAAGTTGCTTGCACCCTGGTTCTTTGACTCTCCAACACAATTTCAGTCCCAATGAGGAACTTCTTTGCAATTTTCCCTACAAGAAAAAAAGGGTTATTAAATTCATTATGGGTACTTGCAAAATTTTTCTAAATTGAAAATGGGCCTATTAACAAAAGAAGAACTTGGATCCAAGTTTTAGATTTTTCTTTGCGGAACCAGAAGTTCATGCATGTATTAAAAAAATCATTTTATAATCAATTTCAAAATTTTGAGATCAGGTAATTTTAAAGTAATAATGATGAAGAGTATTAAAAATTGAGTTTAGTTTTGACTAATGTAGGTTGAACCAAATAGGATTACAAAGATATAACAAAGTGCTCATGACAAATTTCTAACTAAAAAATGGCGATGACTTTAAACTTTTTGTGAGCAAATAAATCTAACTCTCAGGATTTTAGGATTCATTAAAGAATGGAATGGCGTGCGAGTGACATGATATAAGATCCCTTTTGACACAAACATTCAAGAATATAGTGATATAAAGAAAAATCTTTATGTGTAGGGTCATTTTTCCATTGTTATGTTCATAATTTTGTTTCTTTATATCTATCTATAACAACAAGAAGCAACAAAGTTTGTTTCTTTACATCCATCTATAAATGAATAATTTATATTTACTCTTTAAAATATAAAAATCTTAATTCAATGTAACATGAAAGCAGGGTAAAATCAGGATTTAATTATAAAGAAACTAGGATTAAAAATCACATATATTATCGAACTTTCATAAACCTTGGGAGTTAAGTATATATTATCTATATAATACTATAAAAATTTAAAAACTTACGAGGTGGCCCATGCTAGTCACCTCCTTCCACCCTTGCGTGAAATCATATTTAAAAAAAATAGAAAATAAAATAAAAAAGGAAATCATGTTATCAAAAGCTAAAATGAAATATAAATAAGAAATGAATTATATTTTGAAAGCAAGTGCAGGGTGGGGGGAAAATAAGTAAGAGACAGGAGAGTCTAATGATGTAGCAAGGGTGAAGAGACAAGCTGCAGGAATGGAGGATGATATAATTATTAATTAATATGAAAAATTAAAGCCATGATTGGTAGGTAGTACAGTTTGTTTATATTCTTCTCTAGATTCTATACTTTAGAGAGCCAATTATGGATTGATGATAATGATTACAAATCATATGTGTTAGTCATAATAGTGGCACAAAAATGAGGGACAGTTTGTTCCACGCTCACTATAGTCTTGGCGCTTATTGCTCTGACCAAGTTCCACATTTTTCCACTTCCTCAAAAAGGAATCAATCATATCACGCCAATACAAATTCCTTCACTAACTAATTAAAAATTCATTAACCCTCTTGCTTATCTTTCCTACTTCAAGAAAGCTCAAAAAGTTGAGGGACAAATGATCCAACGCAGTGTGTTAACTGCTACACACACATACATATCTACAAGGATTTGACTCTCAATTTTGAATGTTTGAGTAGTCTAAGTCAATTTATTAAATAAATGTATCTTAAATGATATGATAATAACTATTCAATTTAATTGAATAGTTGTAAAAAATTTTTTCATATAATATTTAAAAAATATTAAATTTTGAATTCTAGAAGGAAACATCATATGTGAAGAATGCTTTGATAGTAAGGATTATTATAAATTTATGAAGAAAAATATATCTCCATAATTTTTAAATATTGAATTCAATAATTATAATTGAGACACTTATTAAATTGATGAAGCTAGGCCAACTCATTAACTCCAAATCCTTATTCTTCTTGTCCTTTTTGAATGATCGGAGTCTTGTAAGAATAGTAATTAACCGTAAACCATCAAATTCACAAGTCATTCACAAGTGGTAATTTCATGTTGAAATATATGATGACTAGTCTTGAATCGTCACAGTTTAGTTATGTGAATAACAATTAAGTCTACTCGTTAACTTTGTCTTATAAATATGGTATTTTATCATTGTTAATAATAGCTTTTTTATTTTTGTAAATAACAGCCGAGTCTAATTATTAATTTTCCAAATTTACTGATCTTTTTTCAAAACAAAAGTTATTAAATTTAAAAGGGTACTGTTTAATGAGTTATGAATCTGAGGCTTTATAATATGCTTTCAAAAAGTTCTGGATTTTTGAAGCCCGGTTATCATTTACGCCAAAATAAAGTTGTCATTGTTATTTTGAAGCTTACTTATTATTTTTGCTAAAATATCTTGAATTACATTATTAAAAATATTGGCGGCTTAATTTTGAAAAACCAATAAGTCTTGGGTTTAAGTCTCACCTTTCTCATCATTTTACTTATTTAAAGTTCCAGGGACTATAATGTAACATTACAAATTTAAAATATCGATTACCATTTTTTGAAAACTGTAAGATTAGTTAACTTTACGCTGGAATTTGAACATGAGAGAGGGATGATAGTTTTTTTTAAAGGTATTAAAAATTAAATTAATTATTAAATAGTAAAAACATTAATTTAAAAGTTAATGATTAAAATTCAAAACCATAATCAATCCGCCATTATACTAGTCACAAACAAAATATTTCATCGAGCTTGTCAATACATTTATTTAATAGTTTATTGGTTTAATTAATCGGATTGATCTGAATTTTAATACTATGAATTTTTCTATTTGTAAATATTATACCTAGTTCCTTTCACTCAAACCTTAATCCACAATTTATTGCATAAAAATTAAAAGAGTGCAGGATTCTAAAACAAAACAAAAAATTATAAAGTAGACAACTTATACATTATAATAGTGAACTAATCCAAGAGTAATTAAAATATATTTTTGGAAAAACATACTTTTTAGTTGATGCATTTTATTCCTATTTTGTTATAGGTCTGTATATTTTTTTTAATATTTTAAATTTTTAAATTTTTATTTTTTAATATTATAAGTTCTTAAATGAATAAAATGTAAAAATTTTGGATAAATATAAAATATCAAAAAATAAAAATTTAAAAATTTAAAATAAAAAATTATAAAGATTTATAATAAAAAATAAGTATATTGTAGAAGTAAAAGGTATATATTTTTTATATTTTTTATGGAAAGGAAAGTGAAATTTATTGGATATCTTATTATTAAAGTGATTTTATAGCGACACATAAAGCTAAAAAATCTCAGACACTTCTATTTGGGTCCCTCACTTTGTGTCCTTATCTCCTACCTTTTTGTCCTTGTTCCTTTCTAGTCCCTCCCTTCTTACTTTTAAGCCTCTCCCTCCCAATTCCCTCTCCCATGTCTTCTTCTTCATCTTCTTCTTCTTCCTCCTCTGGCGACAGCCCCAATCATCACAACCATAATGCTGGTGCTGATCCTGGCCCTAGCTCCAGAACTTTCTCAGATTCTGGCCAGCCCTCTTCGTCTCGTCCACGTCGTGCCATGAATGAACTCTGGCCTGATCCTTTTCTCGAAGACTTAACTGTCCAAGTCGCCATTGATGCTGCTCGCTCTTCTGGTATTGTCTCTGCAGCTACTTCACTTGCCAACTTATTTCAGGTAACTCATTGAATTCCAACTCAACTTTACATCATAACGCGTCAGCTTCTTCGATCGGTTTCTTCTTTCTCTGTGTTGTGTGTTGTGATTTGCTTGCCTTTATGGTATGAGATTTGTCTTTTTGAATGTAGGAATGAGAAATCTTGTGCGAGTATGTAGTGGTTATAACAGATCCGAAACTGGACAAAGTATAGGTCAAGTCAAACATGGAGAGTTTTGTAATGTGCAAAAGAAAACTGAACACTGCCTTTTAGTGGATATCGAAATGATGAATCTTAGTGGATTTTAATTTTAATATTTTTTTTAAAAATTAACAATGTTTCTGGTTCTTTGAATGCATTGATTCATTCTTAAATTCAAATCAATGCATTGAGAGAGAGAGAAAGAGAGAGGCGAGTGGTTATGTAGGTTTAGTTTTATAGACGTTTCCAAGTGGGAAAACTGTTTCCTGGGTCATTTCTCAATAAACAAGCAATATATATATATGTACATATAAATGTATATATATTGTGTGTCCCTACTTCATATCAGGTGGTCTCTTGTAAACATTTTTAAAAATGACTATAGTTGGACCTCCTTTTCATATCCAATCAAAAAAAGGGTTCCAAAATGGCTTCGAATTTGCTGCTCCCTTTCTTGGCATGAACCTCTCTATCTTCTTTTTGACTTTGGCTTTCTTTGGTTCTTATATAACATCCATTCTTTGCCTTTCTACCTCAGACACTGTAGATAGAGACACTAGATCTTTCAACTTTCTTTCGTTATTAGGTGTCCATTAGCATTTATGTTTCATCCTGAGGAGTTCTCCATTTCTATATTTAGTTACCTTTTTTGAAATATACAAAATACTAGAACACGGGTTTATATCCATTTAACTACAACTAATACATCACAGCTTTTTGTTCCTTATAAAAATAATGATATAGAATCATGCATCTTTTACAGTTGAGCAGCACATGAGAAGACATTTAAAATAGAAATATTTTACCACTAAAAAAAATTAGAAATTTCATTTTCTTTCAGTACAGCGACCTCGTCTTAGCCAAGCCAAGACCAAGGCATTCTATCTTCTTTCTTGGGTTTTTAAACCTCTGATCGGGATGTGCCCTAAAATATCAGTACTTCTTTTAGGCAAGTTTATATATATAATCATATATGTAACCATTTTGGATGAGCTAACCTACATTGTAGGCTTGGAGGAATAAAAATGGAGGTAAAACGAGCGATCAAAGTTGTGATATTATAGTTAGGGTTAGGGGTAAGAACAAGGAAGGACCTCGTGATCTGATTATTTTTTGTTATTTGTGACAAGACAAAACCAGTCAAAATGCAACATGTGCATATGTAATGCCAAAAAGCACATGGAGCCCAATGCCGGTGTTCCAAAACTATTGTTTGCTTGTCACCTTCAAACGTTATGTGCAGTCTTCTCATTCCTTTTCTTGCTATTCCCACACGGTCACATCAATGCTTTCAACTGTATTTTTCTTCCATCAATGCTTTCATCTTGCTATCTTTGTTATATATCATCAGTTTTGTTCATAACGGCACATAGTTTGAAATAGGAGTATCCAGTATAAGGGTTCCCTTTATATGAAAAACAATATGAAAAAATAGAAATATGTATGTGTATATATACAATGCATGGGGAGATTTAGTCAATGTCATAGTATTAAAAACTCAATCCTGTCTTCTGACCGGTCTGTTCAAGAATTTTGGACAGGTCAATAGGTTAAGTTTTATATATTTCCTTATTTAATCATAGTTCGAATTATTAACACTTGGAGTATTATTTTGATTGATTCAATAGCTAGTTTGAATTTCAATACCTTAATGTATAGTAAAGAGTATCTCAATTATATTGATAGCTAAGTTAGGCTTATGTTTGTTTGTTTGTTTTTTTTAAATGGTAAAGTGACACTAAATTACAAGAATTTGATATGTAAGGATGTTGCTCGGAGAGAGTGGAAAAAGCAAAAGATTCGCAGCTTGCAACAAAGACAAACCCTAGGTCACACCTTTCTTGGAAATGAAAGAGAGATGGCCGTTGGTAGAAGCACGCTTCAATCCTATGTTTCGTATGCGCAACCATACAAGAAAAAATTAAAAAACTTTTATAGCTACTACAATGACAAAAATTACACCCAAAAAAAATCTTAAAAAATATATCATTAATTACCTTGATTTTGAGGAAAGATATTAACAATTCCCAGGAAATTATCATGACCTTTAAAATATACCAGTAAAGTAATTCTTTAAAATAATAAATTTGGTTTTTCCCATGATGTTATATTTTTAAGAGGAGGATAAGTATGTGCATGCGTTGGAGGGAAGAGAATGGGACCACAAGGATGGAGAAAGTAAAGATCCATATCTTTCAAGTCATTACTTTTGGTTCTCATAAATTTTGTTTGGTGTAGGGTAAGGCAGGCAAGCAGCTGAGCATAGCATATAGCCCGCTAGGTTAACACTTGAAACCCCCCCTTTTCTCTTTGACCCCAATCCATCTGATCTTTGACTTTCACTTTTAAATATTTTCTCTTTGTCCAAACATTACTTTATGATGTGGGGTGCTTCTGAGTATTGTTTGATCATCATCATGATGGATTGTGCAAAAATGGATTGTACTTGGTGTACCCTCTCAGATCTATAACCATGGTTTGAGATTGAGTAATAACCACCAAGTTTAGTAGCTGTCACTCTTCTCTCCTCCTCTCTCTCATTCCTGTCTTATGATATCACACACAGTGTTTGGGTGTGTATATATTATTATTATTATCGTACCTTCCCTGTCACAAATATTCTAGTCTTAGCTATGCTTCCCGCTGCTATGCGACAAAATCTGATCATTGTCTCGTGTAATGCAACCGCAAAGGACACTGCCTTCCTGTGTATCTGTTTACATATGTACATTTGCCAAAGTAAATTCATTATACAAGAATGATATCCCTAGCTACTCTCTGCACGATCTTTCAAGTTATTCTACATGCATGGTTAAAACGTGGGTGGTTATGGGGAGATTAATAGGATTATATTATGATATGGACATGATTCGAATATGAGAGGATGATGATGATAATTGATTTGAGTGTCTGGCTTGGTTAGCATGAATGAGAAGGAAGATTCGAATCTCGTGGGTGAGGGTGATTTCATTAATTAATAAAGAGGAGGAGGTTGTGAGAGAATCGATGAGACAGAGACGAGCTGACAGCTAGCTAGCTTAAGCTCTACTACTGCTCACTAGTGCCTAGTCTCTCCTGCTTCTCTTGTTCTCCAACTTCAACCTCCTCCTCCTGCTTTCTCTGTATTCTCCATATCCTAGCCCTAGCCCTAACCCTAGTCCTGCTTCTCTCTCTCTCTCTCTCTCTCTCTCACTCATTTATTTCAAAAGTCTACGCGCATGCCGTTGCCTTCACGAGCATGATGCCATCACGCTGTCCCATTGGCTTCAGCTCTCTTGCTTTGCCCTTTTCACCTTTCCTTCCGACTTCATTTTGTTCCTGTCATGCTAAGTAGCTAACCCTAGTGAAAATCTTGGGCTTTTCTCCTTATTTCTCAACGTGTAAAAGTGACATGTCACACACTTAAAAACACTTGAAACAGCAGATGAAACGGTGTGTCTAGGTTGACTCATTCTCCTGTCTAGTCTCAACAAAACCAGGCAAGTTTAAAGACGAAAGTCAGCAGATATCAACTCTCTTTCTCCTCTTAAACTTGATCAACTCTAATTCATCATCTTCAGCCTTTGTTATATTTGAGTAATATACAACACTTTTACCTGTAGCGGCTTAGTTCTCCGGATCTGTACTTGCACTTTCGTTTTTATTTTAAAAACACTATTTGTATAGTCATAATCAGGCACCTGTTTTTTTGGGGTGAATTTGAAATATATTCACTTATTTAGTGCTCATGGCTACTTATAAATTACCAACTTTTATATTATATATCATGAATTGATTCATATTTCATTTAATTTTATTTATAAATCACATTTTAAAAAAAATTTAAAAATTTATTTAATTTTATTTATAAGTTATGGTGCCTTTAAATAATAATTAAAAAATATTTTTAAAGTTACTTTTTGTGAGAGAGAATAAATAATATGTTATTATTTTTTTAAATTTATTATAATGAAACATATTTAAAATTTTACATATTTTTATTTTTTATATATTTTTTATATTAATATGAATAAGGTTGGTAAAATTGGTCAATAAAATGGATGGGGAGTATATGATTCAGACAACATGATATTATGAAAGATAGTAGGATCTATCGTAAAACTGTGCTATACTGCTATTTGCTGTTATTTATTCTGACTCTTCATTGAACTGGAAGGTCGATGATGGACAATTCAATAGTGGAATATGTCATGTCTGTTGTCTCCACATTCTCGACTTCTATTAATAAGTTATTAATAATAATATTATCATTAAGTCGGTCGGTTCATTTTTTTATGCACGCAGGTTTGTTCGAGGTGGCAGGCTGTATCCCGGTCGGATCGCCTGTGGCAGCGGCTGACCGGAAGGATATGGCGGCGCACTGATCGAACGCGAGACACGTGGTACGAAGAGTTCATTCACCGGCATCGAATGGCCAGGAATTTCGTCGCTGGCAGATACGCTTACGCCTCTTTGTGGTTCGGCCCGTCAGACAGGGACGACGACCACTACAGCACCGTTATCTGCCGCTGCCTCACCCTCTCCGATGACCATCTCGCCTGCGGCTTCACCGACGGCACCGTCCGCCTCTTCGACCTTGATACGCGGGTCCACTTCAGGACGTACCGGTCCCACCAAGCCAACCGCTTAGGTCCCTTCGCGAGATCCGTGTCTGGCATCGTGCTCTCAGACAACAAGCTCGTCTTCGCCACGCTGGATGGCGACATCTACGTGGCACACCTCGACGAGCCCAACAATGATACACGTAGGGCACGCATCGGTGACGTAGTCAACAGCGGAGTCCTCGTAGAGTTCGCTGGCCGCGGCCGCTGGTGGGTAGGACTCTTCGCCGGAGTTGCTGGCCAGGCTTTTCAGATATGGGACGCTGAAAACGAACAACTCGTGTTCATTGGCGGATCCTTGACCGACCCGGAAGCTGTCATGGGTTGGCACATGTTGACGGAGTTTGTCGAACCGTTGGGCCGGCTTCGGGTCACGAACCGGGGCCTGGCGGTGGCGTGCACGAGCTCACAACTCGTAGTGTTGGACCTGACGAACCAGATTTTATTGAACGAGCTCTCGTCCTCTGTGGGAGGCTTCATCGTGATGTCGATGGACGTGAGCCATGAGGCGTTCTTTGTCGTGGAAAGGAACGGCGACGCTAAGGTGCGCCGTGCGAGCACGTTAGAGCTGCTATGTGAATTCAGGACACGTCAGTTGAGGGGTTTGATGGGGTGTAGGAACTTGGGGTACGCGCTAACGTGCGCCAGCGGTGTAGTGAAGGTGTGGGACGTGGAGCGACGGCGGGGACAACGGCGTTCGACGGTGGAAGAGAGGGTGGGTGAGGGGAGTGCTATGGTGTGCACTGAGAGACACGTGGCGATTTCTTGTAATGACAGGTCGATACACCTATGGGATTTCGATGTATAAGGGGAAACCAGAGGGGGAGAGGCGTCTTCTTCCTTCTCATCCTCTGCTCTTTCCATTCTTAATTTTTAATCATGAACTCAAAAATTTGGATGATTTGATCTCCTTTAAAGTATTTTATTTTATTTTTCTTTTACTGCACTTTTAACTGTTCTTATTCAATTTTAGGTGTTTGAATATTACTATTTATTTTGTTTTATAATTTAATATTTTAATGATAATTTTATAAGAGATCAAATTTAAATTATCTAAATCTTAATTTAATGATTAGAAAGTAAAAACAAGGGAAGAAGATGGATAGGAAGAGGACTGGATGCATGTCCGGAAAAAAAAAAAAGATGAGATGTTTTATATTTGAGGAATGTTATTTAATTATTCATAATTTATATTATTATTTATCAAGAACCTTTTTAAATTAATTAATGTATGTTTAAGAGTTACTCTTTATGTTAAAAAATATAAGGTATTTTTAATTAAATTTTACTCTTCAATAAAATAGTTACTTATTTTTTAACTAACTTTTTTTTTATATTTACCTCTATTAAATACTTTACGATAAATATAAAGTCATTCATTAATAGAAGTATTTCAAAAAAAAAGATCATAATTATATTTTAAAAGCTTGAAGATGTTTTATATTTTTAAATATTTAATTTTTTAAAAAATATTTTATATTTTTAAATGGAGGACCTTTAGGATTTATCAATGTCTGCAAATTTATTTTCTTAAATATTTGTAGCCAAAGGAAAATAATAATAATAATAATAATAATAATAATAATAATAATAATAATAATAATGGTTATAATATTGTTGAGTAAATTGATGAGAATATTAATTGAAGGATCCATGACGTCAGGCCAATGATAAAATAAATTAATTTAACCAACTTAATGGTTTGTAGTTGTAAGTTAGGGTGAATTAGAGGCGGGACATGTGAGGACAAGACTTTGGTTGTACTCAAAGGGTGATTCACAGGATTTTTAATGATAAAAAAAAATGAAAAAGAAAAGGTTGAGGGATTTAAGGGGGCAGGGTAAGAGTTGTTCATAATTGAAGAAGTATGGAAAGGGTGCAGGTGTTCTGTTGTACTTATGTCACCTTCTGTATCATCGATTGGCTACTTTTTTGGGTTTCAGTTTTGCTTTAATAAATGTTATATATATATATATATATATATATATATATATATATATGAGAGTGTATTACATGAGAGAGAAAGAGAGTTTTTAAAGTTTAAACTTGAAATTGGAATTGGAAGGATGTTGGTGGGTTCATGGTTGAATCATAATGGGAAGGTAGTCAAAGAAGGCAGGCACTGCTTGGTCAGAAAACTGAGATATGTATGTGAGACTTTTGTACGAATCACATTTCTTCTTTAATGTACCTTATGACTAGAAACCATGTGAAACCAAATAAAAAAAATTCTGCATGTGAGTAAAATTAGCATTTCAGACATCCTATGCGTCTCTCATCTATGAATATATAAATATGAACAATAATTTGTTTAAACTCTATTGGACTTATCATTCTACTCATTGAGTCATTCATGTGGTGTTTAGATGTTGAATACATTATGGTCAAATCTGCATTGTAAATCTAAGGAGTAATGGCGTTAGTAAGGCATGTGTAGATACATTTAATCACTTTATTAAGATTAAAGAGTGATGGTTCAGTTATTAATTTTATCTTAAAAATTTACCCATATTATTTAAGGAGTAAATACCCAAAGAGATACATTAGAGTGACAGTATTTGAAGAATTTAATTCATTTCTCACGGGATTATCCTTCTATAATAAGGATGGAAGAGTATCAAAATTAGATTATATCATTGTACAAATGTTGATTTTGTGATTTTAAGTGTCTTTAAATCCCGTTAGTTCTTTTCCCCCTAAGGTATTCCATAGCAAGCAACTATGAGACTAATCTCTCAAAAAATATAAAATGTCATTTAAAAAGTTGCCATTTTCTTAGCAATGCTCAAGAATTTTATATAAAGTTAAATGATTAAAGTTACTTTTTACCAATTTACATCTTCTTTCCTTTGATATATATATATATATATATATATACTTATCATCTTTCCTCACCTTAATTTTTAAATTTTTATTCTTAAAATAATTAGGGCTAAAAATTAGGGTTAAAATGCACTTTTATTCTTTTAAATTCATATAAAATTTTATTTTAATTTCTTAATTTTATAAAGTACATTTTTAATTTTTTTTAACTTTAACACTGTTAGTTTTATTAACAAAAACATTTATACATTTAACTTTTAAATATTGACAAAAAAATTTCAAACCTCAAACATTGGCATGTTAATTAAGTTTAATTTTTTAAAATAATAATGATGAGAATAAAAAATAATTATTTGAAATTAATGGTCAAGAAAACTAAATTGGTACTTTATAAAATTAAATGATCAAACTAAAATCTTATATAAATTTAAATAACTAAATTTGAATTTTAGCTTATGTAAATTAGAAGAAAGAAAGTTAAACAGGGGCTAGTTTATTTATTTTCCAGATTGCCTCGTTCTTCGATCTGTGTTGTAATGAAACAATAATCACACAATCACTAATTATCAGTTGTCATGAGATTAATTCAATGTTGAGAAATTCATAGAAGATGAACGGAGACAATATTTCAATCTACAGGATTTGGATGTGTAGGCATCGACTAATTATCTGTAAGGTTTTTCATCTCATGATCAAATTGTTACCGTTATCTATACATACATACATAAAGAAAAAATATGTCATTGGTGTATTTTTCTCCAAATAATATTTTATTATTTTATACTTATGTGACCTCATCATCAGTGAAAGAATTTACCAACCCTAGAGAAAGGTACTAAACTTGCTACGCTTTGACAATTTTGGATGTAATATGCTCCAAGTTAACTACATATAGCCAAAAAAATCTGCACAAGGATTTCCTGGAATATATACGAACAGTCGAATACACAAACACATGCATTATGTTTTGACAGTTATTCGAGACCTGATACGCTTGGTGTGTTTGTGTTTGCACATTCGAAGAAATTAAAACTAGTATGTACTTTGATTTATCCTAGGACTACACATGATTATGCAGTACTTTTCAAATTCATTGAAGAACTAATATGTTCGTTATTTGTTTTTGTCTCATATCAGTATTTAGAGGTTTGGAATTGCTAGCTATCCAGTTTGCAACCCAAGTGAACTCAACTGGGATATTTCTACTGCCAAAACTGTCAAAATTAAATCACTAAACATTAATTTTTTTTAATTTGATGCCATCGTTCGGAATCCTAAAAAACTTACTAATATTATCATCTCCCGTCCAAATAAATTTGAGATGTGTCTTTATGAAATTCACATGACATTCAAGTGACACAGCTCATCAATTTCTCCAAATCCTGCCGGTCATTCGGGCACACATATGTCAAGGTACGTAGATTCGACACACTATTGAACATATACACACACAGTTTCTTTTTGGTTTAATTTGAAAGTATATAAAATGATTCTTTCACTGATGATGAGTGGTTTGTAATAGAACTAATCAAGCAGAAATTTCCAACAGGGGTTGGTCCGAGTGATAAACGACTTGATTTCATTTAAATAAGGTCTTGAGTTCAAGTCTTGTGTATGCAGAGAACTCTCAGCTGAAAAACTCACCCACCATAGTTAGGTGCGTGATGCAAGTTGGACCTAGATTAGTCAAAGTGAAGCTTTGGATACTAGGTAGACAATAAAAAAGACAAAAAAAGAAAAAATCAAGCAGAAATTTGCACTGGGACTGCATAAAAGAGACCATCTTATTTTAGTTGCTATTTCCTCACGCATTTTCCTAGACACAAGATATATAAACAAGTACAATTCAGGTCCCATTCAGTTGGTAGAAAGAAATGACTTGAAAAATAAAAGTAAAAATAATATGATTAAAATATGGAAGGAAATACATGAACTATATTTACAAGGAGGAAGGGTAATTTTAGTTTATAGGATTGAGAATTATAAGTTATAAAAAATTTTAGAATATGATAATCCCCACATTTGTGATATATATAAGTTTTATCATATTTTTTATGAGAGAAATGAGTGATTTAATTCATTTTTGCTTTCACTTTTTCAATCCATTTCATTCACGTCCTTCCTAACAAATACCTTATTTACTGATATGGGGTTTGGCTGACAGGTTAACACACAACTGATGGGCCAGATAGAGTTAATATATATAGAGTGGCATAGTAATTAATGCAGAGAAATGATGAACGAAATAGAAGACAAGCTGGAGAAATACATGACTGGTTCCGAGGAAAGAAGATCTAGCAACCTAGAAATTGAAGCCTCCAACAGATCAGAACGATAGAGGAATTCTCTTAGCAGCAGAAGAAGAGGATCCATTGTGTTGGTGATGGATAGTTATTCAAAGTACACGAGCATTGGTTAATTAAAATTTCTGTTGTAATTTTCAATATTTAAGGAAATCTGCAGCATGAACTATCGTGATATATTGAGTTTTTATTTTATTTTGTTCCCTCTTTTATCAAACGAACAACGTAAAATGCTTATTTGAGTTCATAAAATACTTTTTAATAGATTTTTTTATTATAAGTTAGTTTTACTTTTAATTTTTGATAATATAAAACAAAAATATATAACATGAAGTTTTATCTTGTCTGTTACTTAATATTGCACGATATCATTAGTGAAAATGATCTCTTTTGGAGTTGAATTAGGATGATATATTTCAGTGGACATGAATCCAAAAAAACTGAACATGCTTCAACACGCTAGGATTCAACGTGTGAGTAATTCTTGTTTTTTATTTTATTAATTTTGATTTTTTATAACTCTATCTGATATATCTCCAATTATTGAAGCGTCGAGCCAAATTACGTGGATTCATTTGTCGTTGATGCGCAGTGTCTTGGAGGGAGGATTGTCTCTTGGTCTCTCCCTCGTGGCGCATAAAAAGCCCACAGGCCCATCATGTGAGGGCTGGAGGATTTTAGAGTAGTGATGGGCCTGACGGGCCACTTTTTTAGACGGACTTCAAAAACAAGTAAAGAATTTTGATATAAAATTATACACACGGGGCTTAAGTTAACTCTTAAA